GGTCCTTGCACTTGCCAGGCAGGCACTTAGACCACTGAGATATCTCCTCAGCTGCTTTAAATTTTCAAGAGGCCTATATCAGACAAATTATTAGAAAGTAAGAAATTTGTAAGTGCTAAAGTCTAATCTGAATAGGTATCAAGCACTGGATGGGTAGTTAGCAAGAGAAAGACTTAATCAGGGATTTTTCTATTCCCCTTGGGCAATCATTTCACAATGGGTGACTATAGACTTCTAAACTCAGGGCAAAATGCTCATGTGATTAAATGACTCTTGACCAAGTGTTTCAGTCAAATTAAATTCTTAGTAGTGTGGTATTTATAAATTAACATGGACAAAGGTGATGCATCGGTATGTGGGAAAATCTGTGAAGATAAAAGCTAAGAGATGAAATTAAACCTCCTGGAACACTGGGCAGTATCACCGCATCCTATGACTCAGGTAACAATGGCTATAGCAAAGAGGACATAATAAATAAATCTTAAATTAATTTTGTCTGGGATCTGAAAAGTTAGCTGTCAAACCTCCTCCGAGCAGCGTTTTATAGCAATATGAATGTGAATTATCCTTAATTACAATCTGCACATATTACAAAATAACAGACTCTTGCTAAATTCCCTTTTGGTGTTGCAAGGTATTTAGAAAGTCTAAGCTGATTTTCTAAGTGTAATGCTAATGCTATCATATTCTTCCAAAAGAAATATTCTTACCTCATCTGTTTCTAAAATTGGAAACGTTAGATGATGGCCCCAAAGGAAGAGAGAACACGGATCGTGGGTTACTTGGTTACCCTGAGTGACAGCTCCTCCTTCTAGGGCTTGCCTGGCATTTTCCTCAGCAGCTCTTTTCATATCCTGGTGGTTTCCTGTTAGGAACCTGAGGATGTCTCTGCTTCTAAATGCAGTTTCCTCAAATTCAGTAGCTTAGAAAAAAAGTCATTCATTTCATCTGCTTCCTTCAGGCCCAGCAACGCCTCCCCTAAACTCAGCGTGTGACATGGAAATGGCCCCATGAAACACTAGCCATAGTCTGCCTAAGCAAGGAGAACCGAGTTGGAAAAATAACTTCATCTTTTCTAAAGTCAGTGTATGTTGCGGGTAGGGGTGGTGTGTGTTTACTGACTTTATAGACACTATTGGATATGTGTTTATATACTGGATGGACAGAATTAACTATGGCTCTTAGGAATTTTTGTTTACCAGTTGATTTTTGAAAAATTTGTTTAAGAA